CAGGTATATTTGCTTCATGCCAGGAGGGGCTCCACAAATGTAAATCCCAAGTGCAAATTGGTGTCTTTCCTTGGCCTGGATGTAGGCACAGGGATCCTTGAGGAGGATTTAAAGCCTCAATAAGACTTTAAAGAAGTCAGGGATGAAGTCAGGAAGGCCAAAGCACAATTGGAGTTGCAACTAGCAAGGGATGTGAAGGGTAACAAAAAGGGCTTCTACAAGTATGTCGGTATCAAGAGGTGGATCAGGGAAAGTGTGGGTCCCTTACTGAATGGGGGAGGCAACCTAGTGACAGAGGATGCAAAAAAGGCTAAAGTACTCCATGCCTTTTTCACCTCAGTCTTCACAGGCAAGGTCAGCTCTTAGACTACTGCACTGGGCAGCACAATTTGGGGAGGAAGTGAACACCCTCAGTGGTGAAAGAACAGGTTAGGGACTACTTAGAAAAGCTGGACATATACAAGTCCATGGGGCCATATGGGATGCACCCGAGGGTGCTGAGGGAGCTGGCTGATGTGATTGCAGAGCCACTGACCATCATCTTTGAAAACTTATGGTGATCAGGAGAGGTCCTGGATGATTGGAAAAGGGCAAAGATAGTGCCCATATTTAAGAAGAGGAAAAAGGAGGATCCAGGGAATCACAGATCAGTTGGCCTCAACTCAGTCCCTGGAGAAATCATTGAGCAGATCCTCAAGAAAGCCATTTTGAAACACTTGGAGGATAAAATGGTGATTAGGAACAGTCAGCATGGATTCACTAGGGGCAAGTCATGCCTGACCAACCTGATTGCCTTTTATGATGAGATGACTGGCTCTGTGGATGTGGGGAGACTGGTGGATGTGGCATACTTTGATTTTAGCAACACTTTTGATACAGCCTCCCACAGCATTCTCCCAGGCAAGCTAATGAAGTATGGGCTGGATGAATAGTCTAGAGAAGAGGAGCCTGAGAGAAGACTTAATAGCAGCTTTCAACTCCCTGAAGTGGGGTTCAAAAGAGGATGGAGCTAGAATGTTCTCAGTGGTGGCAGATGACAGAACAAGGAGCAATGGTCTCAAGTTTTAGCAAGGGAAGTTTAGGTTAGATATTAGGAATAATTTTCTCACTAGGAGGGTAGTAAAACACTGGAATAGGTTACCCAGACAGGTGGTGGAAGCTCCATCCTTGGAGGTTTGCAAAACCCAGTTAGACAAAACTTTGGCTGGGATGATCTAGTTGGGGATGGTCCTGCTCTGAGCAGGAGGTTGGACTAGATGACCTCCTGAGGTCCCTCCCAACCCTTACTTCCTATGATTCTATGAGAGATCTTAGGCCTCAAGGCTCTCATCAGAACTTGAATTGGGTAGCTTGGGTGGTTTCCAATGGGTCCTGTGAATCCTTTTGTTAAGTGCCCAATTCTACCTAAGTATTATGTAGGGGAGCCTGGACATCTGACTCAATATTATTAATTGCATTAGGTGACAGAGCAGCCAAGAGCTAAGTGTTACAACTGAAGCCTAAGCCCACTTGTTAACCTAACTCTGAACGCCTCTTCCAAGCTAATGATCACGCTTAGCCCTCATGAAAGCAAAACGTGAGTTGAAAATGTTGGCAATGGATCAGCAAATGAGCTCGACATATTGCAGTATACAGCCTTCAGTGCTCCTTCCAGAAATAGCCTGCTGAATTAGAAAGGGAAAAGTGTCCGTGCTTGGATTTCATTGTTGCATAGAAGACAGTACTAGCAGGCATCACCCAGTAGACTTTCTAGACAGTGGGCCAGTCCTCAGCTAGTGTAAATAGATGCAACTTATTTAAGGGCCTTGTTACATGTTGCACTTTGACCTGCTCAAATGTTGATTGGTGTTAGTGCTAGCTTGAGTTTGGAGTAGTCACACCTTAAAGCTAAGAACCTTTTCGGACTGTCGTCCATCTGCACAGCTGTGACTTACCACTAGAGGGCTGGTGAGCATATGTCTGATTAGGTGTTATGGCTGTGGGTTGCACTACAGGCCTGGTGGACCACAACAGGCTTCTAGCCCTGCTCAAGATGTGGGGGTGTGAGAGATGGGTTGGGGGTGCGTGGGAACATGAAGCTGGTAGGCAGGAAGTTAATGGGATGGAGGTAGGTAATGAAATGGGAGGTGGAAAGGAAATGGGGGTGGGGGGAGGATGGTGAAATGAAGGCAGTCAGCCACTGAAGGATAAAACAAAAAGAAGAAAAACAAAAATTAAAAAGAAATAGAGGAGGTAAATTGAAGAGGTTCTCATGCTTTAATAAATCTTGAGTAGATGTATGAAGTTCCCATTGATGTTTGTGGCTGCTCTTTGGGTACTGAAGGGAAGGTATAATTCTGTTTCCAGCGAGGAGGAAATCTTTTTTGTTAAAGAAAATAAATAAGGATACGAAAAGATGGAGCTGCTGTGAACCCACCTTTGCCAGAAAATGATAAGCATGTTTTTAAAATAAAAGCTTCTATTGTGTGGAGCCAGTTTGTTAGAAATGGAAGATCAAGTTGCAAACCACTCCTCTTCGTTATCTATCCACATATAAATTCTGAACCAAGTTTCATTAATGTTACATGAAACCTCATCAAAATGAGTTCCATGCTGATTTGTATTTGGATACTGTTGTCACATGGAGGATATCTACATGGGTCAGGTACTGTATACCTCTTCCCCTCTCTCTTACCTTTTCAGTTCCCCAAAAGCTGCTGGAGACAGGTGCTAAACTTATCGGTATCAGTGGGAGTCTTTTTAAATGTTAATGGGCTCTGGATCTGGCCTTTCAGGACTCAAGAAATGAATTCATCAACCAAATATAAGACAAAGAACTAAAATCTGCCAGGGCTTGCATGAGAACTTGAAGCGAAGAGTGATCAGGTAGCTTGTTGTCCAGCAGAGCACTTACACAGGAATGGGGCAAAATACAGATTTTTTGCTCTCATTAGCACTAGCCTGGGAGTCCAGCTAAGTCTGTAGGAGAGGCTCCATGAATCTAAGGGAACAGGGCTGGTGAGTTTGGAATGATGGGCAATCTCCCAGCAACCTAGTATTTGTATTACTGAGTGTAGAGCATGCTATTGTTTTTTTGTAGGAAACTGGCTCTTTGCTGATTGTGCCATCTCTTGACTATGTTGAGCTATTCCCTGTTCAGAGCCTCTCTTTTCTGTTGCTCATTCTTTTCCTCTTTGGTGTCCATCAGCGTACTAAATTAAGAATTGCAGCCTTAAGGCTATTAAGCTAATTAAATGCTACCTAACTGCTTCTCTTCCAAGTCCATCAAAATTCTCCTTTTGAATTTAGCTTCTTGTTTTGTCTTCATACCTCCTCTGATATGCCTGATTGTGGCAGCATCTAGCCCTAACTCATAGATTATACCTCTTTTTTTTAGCGCACAATCTGGTTTTTCTTAACAAAAGCTGATCTTAACTATTAAGCTTCAGTACATCAGGTATATTTTGATGTTGTCAAAAAAGATATGTGGGTAGGTTTTATGGCAATCAATCCAACTTACATTGATTGAACCTCTAAAGAAAACACTATGAGATACTGCCAAACTTGCTTTGAGATTTTTAAAATATTGTAGGAAACATCATGGACAGAACAAATAGACACAGTAAGAGACCACTATTATTACCATACCATAGAAATGTAATTAGAAAATATCTACTTTAAGACTTGAAGAAGCTGCAATGTTATTTTTCTGTAATATTGTGTCATTATTCTAGTATTAAGTGTGTGGTTTAGTTTAAGTTTCACACAGAAACCTATTCAACAGCCAATGAAGGAATGCATTCTTATTTTACATTGGCAAATTGTAATGGGTTAATTTTACAGGTAGCTTACACTTATAAAGAGAAAAATAATGTTGAATAAGTAAATAAATACTTCTTTTGGGTTTCAGAAGGGGTTTTTTAGTGGAAAATATCCAAAACTTATTCTTGAGACAGAGGTGATTGTAGCTTTTATTCATTAAGCAGAGTTGCCTAAAATGTGAATTAATTTTTTTTTACTTTTTAACAGGTTTGATGAGATCAAAGTCATGTAATAATTATTGCATTTATATTTAGTTAATTTTATTGTAAAACTGTTTTTGAAAACCAGGATTAATTAATTCACTGGTCTGTAGTATTTTTATGTAAGACTTGGCGTATAGAAGGAGTGATATTTACCATTATGGTGGTATGTTGCATAGTGAACTTAAGGACCATAGTCGAGGTCTTTGCTCATTGAGAAGCAGACTTTAACTGAATATTCAAACATTTAAGACATTCACTCTCCCCGCTACAAGTTCCCATTCCATATTATAACTCTGATCCTTTACTCTCTCCTCCCGACTTCTCTTCCTGTTCTGTGGTAAGGGTCACCTTTTGTTCTTTAGTTATGCAACTTCTAGCACAATGAGATCCTTGTTTGTGACTAGGGTTCTTGGTTGCTATGGTAATGCAGTCAAACATCTCGGATGCAGAGGATTCTTCACCAATGGGAAGATTCTTTAGGTTATTCCTGGTCTGCTCTCATTCCAATGCTCATGACAGCCCGAAGTGCATCCCACATTTCCACCACTCCTCACCACCATCCCATTACTTCCTACAGCAACACTAGGCCCTCGCTGCTATTCCTTTTACATTTTTAGTGCATTTTAGCTTCCTTAATTAGAGCCCCAGACAGCCCTAAGCAGAAAAATACATACATGCATATATGTGTCCCATTTAGGATTTATGTTTTATATAAATATAAATCCATTGATTTCATTGGCGCTACTCTCCATACTCTGAATGTACTTTAATTTGGTAAAACAGAAAATCTTAAAGTGGACAAAGAACCAATCTGGAACAAATTTTACTTACCAAGCTATTCTAGATGCTCACTCAGTTATTTTGAAAAGCTACTGGCATTGAGAACACAACCATGCTTTCTAATTTGAGGTCACAAGATTTTATTATTCAAAGGGCAATTGTTGAGACTGGTGAACGGAAGGAACAGATGTGAGGGTCGTGTTGAAATTTCTTACAATGGAAAGTGGGGAACAATTTGTGATGATTCCTGGGACACAAATGATGCAGAAGTCGTATGTAGTGAGCTTGGATGTGGACGAGCCATTTCAGCACCAAGAGAGGCTCATTTTGGTGAAGGCTCAGGTACAATTCTCCTGGACGAAGTGCAGTGCACAGGGAATGAAGCCTACCTCTGGCAGTGCCCTCACAATGGGTGGTCCGTACATAACTGCTTTCATCATGAAGATGCTGGTGTCATCTGTGCAGGTACATTGTAATGTATTTATGTTTTCAGGGTAATAACATGCTACAAATATATTAAAGTTTAAATTTTTGATATTCACTATTTTTGTTTCTCCACATTTTAGCAAACAATTTTTAAGAGCATATTTAGGTTTTTTTTGAATTCAGAATTGTTGTTTTTATGCTATTTGATCCAGTCCATCCATTATCATCATTAATTAGTATCATACCATCTACATAACTCCTCATAACACCATTTTTAATTGCATGATTAATTAAATTGATTAAAAATGCATGTTACTGAGAAAATAATGAAAGATTGATTTGGGTTATATAAAAAACTATCTTCAGGTCTAATATGGTCTCATAAACTTACTAGAAAAAGTAAAAAGCCAAAAGTACAGTATATTGCTAATGCTGATTCTTATTAAACATAATTTCTTTGTCATTCAGTTGAGCGAAGACACCAAAAAGTAATCTTTTCATACATTTTTTTGCAGCTTCCATGGGACCTGATACACCTGGTAATGCTCACTTCATTTTTTTTGATTGATTCCATTGACAAAATACATCTGGCTTAAAATTTTTGTTGAAAAATGATTTTATCACTACCGTATAAATTACAGCATACTTGAAAAAGTCATAGAGGATATTTACATACCCCGTATAATTAAAATTCATGTTCTTCTAGGCTAAGTACAGACAACCAAAAAGCCCAAGGTGGAATCCATCAAAACTTTGCAGGTTTTTCTTAGCTGTGAAACATAGATCAGGAAGGAATAAAACACACATTCTGCCATCAGCGGGGGATGCAAAGGGTGCCTGCACTGGCCCCTGCCAGGATGCTGGCAGTGCCCATGTGTACCTCCCATCATGCCTGACAGGCACAAAAACAGCCGAGCCCAGCCAATTTTCTCCCCACAATATCTCCCCAGTTCTGCCCCCCAGCAGCTGCCCACAGCAGTGGGTAGGAAGAGCAGTATTTGGGGGTTGAAAGGAGAGGCCTCCACCCCGGTGCCCCCTGACCCAGCCAGAACCACTATGGGGAGAGCACCATGGGGGGCTTTCTCTCTTGCCCTGCTGCCTGGCTTGCCCAACTCACCATAACCCAGCCAGAACCAAGCCAGTCAGCAAGGAAGGGGAGGAAACCCCTTGTGGCATGCCCCCCAGTAGGTCTGGCTGGGTGGGAGATGGGACATGAACCTCCACTCCCCCCTCAGTGCCTGGCTGGCAGACACAGGCAGGATGCAGGCTGGGAGTAAGACTTTGTTGTCTCAGCTATAGGACATCCTGGGGGTGGGACCAGCCTGTGTCAGCCAGAGCAAGTTAGGCTGCCATCCTGCAAGGGGGAGGGGGTTAGCAGGGTGCCACAAGGCGTCCTGGGAAGCTGTAGGGCAAGGAACTAAGGTGATTCACTGCAGGATCTGGGACAGAAGTTCAATAGACCATTTTAACCTAAATCAGTTAAGTCTAACACTACATCCATCCAGGTCTATCTTAAACCAGTTTCAGCCATTTTGAAACTGGTCTACTCCCACTGAACTTCTGTTCTGTTACAGGTTTAAACTGGTTTCCAATCACTTATACCAGTTTATGTGTAGTGTCTGTCCCTAGCCTTAAAGTTTCAAATATGAGGTATATGTCCTAATCTTCTGTTCTGGGAATATACTATATACTTACCTATAAACTAATTTGCACATAAGTCAACTCCAAATTTCACATCTAAGTATTAACAAAATGAGTAATGCACATTTATACAACCTGGTTATAGAAGAGACTTGGAGCAGAGCTACATTATGGGTAGTGTCATCTGCTCATTTGGGGAATTGTTGTTCTTTGCTCTGGCTTGCATCGGCCAATTAAAAAAGCTGTTAGGTATCACTATTTAATCAAATTCTCTTTCATTTTCCAAAGAATTGTCACTTCGACTAGTAGATGGAATGAACAGATGTGAAGGTCGTGCGGAAGTATACTATGAAGGAAACTGGGGAACAATTTGTGGTGATTCGTGGGACATGAATGATGCCCAGGTTGTCTGCAGCCAGCTTGCATGTGGATGGGCAGTTTCAGCACCAGGAGTTGCCCATTTTAATCAAGGCTCAGGAAAGATCCTTCTCGATGTTCAGTGCAAAGGAAATGAAACCTATGTCTGGGAATGTCCCAACAGAGGATGGTCTGTAAACAACTGTGGTCATCAGGAAGATGCCAGTGTCATCTGCTCAGGTACATTCTATGTAATCTCATGATATTAAAAATGAGGGTCTGGTTCAAGTGTCTCACTATGGCTCCAGAGGCATGAGTCTGAACTTTGCTCTGGACTTGTGCTGAAGGCTGCCTCCAATCTCCCTAGCCATCAGATGGGACCTGTTCACTCAGGCTTGGGAGACAAAAGTGGCTGGATGTGACACTAGCCAAATCATTCCTTTGTGTGCCCTTGTGGCTACAGACATGGGTATGCCGTCATTCCCTGAGCATGATGGGCTGTTATGTTCAGGCAGATTTAAGTTTTTGGCCTTAGTTTAAAAGTACAGTATAAATTTTAATTTATTACTACAGGGGAAAAAAAGCATTCATATTAATCTTATTTTCTGGAAGCCTGGCATTCTTACTTTAATTCCTACATAGTAGAGCCCTTGTTAATCATCTATTTAATATTCAGTTGCACTGTAAGACAAAATGTGACATTGTGGTAGGGCGGGGTTGCAGCTTCCTGGAAGTCTTTGGTTAAGAGTTCTCAGGAAAGCAGGATGTCTCCCTGAGCTCCAAAGTGACTGTAAGGCCCCCTCTACGCATTACAGGTATCATGCTACTAAGTGGTTCATTGTGCAATTACCTTAAGACCAGTATAACAGAGAGCTGGAAGCGTGTTACTTTAAGGGTGAAGGAGCAGCAAGGAGAGCCCCAGGAGGGGGAAAGCTGCCCATTGTGAGCTTTCATGTTTACATCTTCTAGGGCAGAGTCCTCTTAAATGTAAGCATCAGAAAAAGTACATTTTTAATTGGCAAGTGAGTAATTGGCTCTCTCTTTCAATGGAGAAATGCCCCCACAGGCATAGACGATAGTTTCATCTGACACCACACAATCACCTAATGAGGCATGACTGTGAGAATGTTAACACAATGGTGGTAGTGTCTTTGAAGTGGAGTAAACATAGTGATCTGGGGGAATTACAGGAAGTAACCATTTGTTTGGAAATCGATACACTGGGTTCTATATGCAACAAACTGTGCCATGTCTTTGTCATTCATTTAACTTAAAATAAACCTGAAGGAACTTCACATATTGTAAAAAGGACTATTGATTACAGTTGAATTTCCCTGACCTTATTCTATCATTTACTCTGTGATGCAAGTACACGTTACTCTTTGGCTTTGAATAAGAGCCAGTGGTGTCCCCTGGAGAGTCAAATTCTGTTGTCATTACAAGACGCTTCAGTTCTCTCCTGACTTTGATCTTTCAAATATTAGTAAGCAACTATAGCAGTGGAACAATTAGCCACCATGCTTTTTTGAACAATACCTACCTTCCTGTCATTTCCATCAGCAATCTTCAAAACAAGACTTTGCCAAATTGTTCTCTGTGCCTTTGCTTTGTGACAACTGATTTTTTTTAGTAATTGCATCATGCTTATTTTTTCTGAACACCAAATACATCAAAAATACATATTTCTCTGAAATCATAAGCTGATTCCCGAAAGAATAAACTTCATTGCTATTGAAGACCTATGTAATAGTCTTGACATATATGAACATACAATATACTGTTCAGCGCTGTTTCATTAATATTTCCAACATCAGGCAAGATCCCAATCTTTAATCAATAGATTTCATTGTTACTGTAAAATGTAACTGAAGATGCTTCTTGAATGTGAACTTGTCATATTGTTTGCATTCACAGCTGCCACAGGATGGGAAGCCTCTGGTCATTTTTTCATATTTATGTAATTGCTTTTGCTATCAACATTCAATAGGGTTAATCCATTTCAAACAGCACATTTGGAAATTGTAATCTTACTGACACTGAATTTTCCATGAGAAAAAAAATCACAAGAAGAGAATGCAGAGCATCAGACTTTATGGATTTTATATGAGATAGGTCATGGTCCATAAAGCAAACAGTGGGAGAAGGGATCATAATTACAATCTCCACAAGTCACTGCAGTGACTCAAGGAGAGAGTTTGAATTATCCCTATTCTGAATCTGGCATGGAAAAAATTGAGCTATGCATGCGAGTATCTGGCTGTGGGAGAAGGCTAGGCAGGCAACAGGAAAGCTTGGCTATCAGCAGCACAAATTGCAGAGATGTGATCTCAACCTTTGGTTACCCTTGGCCATTGTCTGTCTTTTCAAGATCTCTTCCTAGGTACATTGCTAAGGCATGGAATCGCAGATCTCTCAAGTCTTCTCCATGAGGCACAGAAAGAGTTGAACTTAATTACAGTGACCAGGGATGTTGATGATTGAATTAAGATTCCTAACATTTCATAACTCACAGCCTTCAACCCAGGCCATCCTTTTCTTCACCTCCTTTATGTCAGAGTAGAGCAAGAATCAAATGTACATCTGACTCTCTGTTCTGATAGTCTTGATAGCAAAATTAAGCTGAGAATCAATCCAAATTGTAAATAAATCCAAGCAAGGACTGGACCTGGGCAAGTGAAGCTTGGTAAAGAAAGAAAGAATGAGCTCAGCCACAGTTCATTCATTGCAGTCAAGGTGTGGATCATTTCTGAGTCACATGACTCATCTTGTTCATGCTTATGAATTTGACATGTCTTGAGACAGCAGTGGCATAAACTTTGAGCTTATAGCCTTGCTCCATGTCTGTCCATGAAAGTCAAAAGCTTCAACAATTACTTTAAACGCATGCTCATGCCAAATCTCACTACTCACCTGCTCGGCACAGGACTAACTTAATCTACTCCTTGAAAAGAAATACCTTTGATTCTGCAGAACCATGAATCATATCTAGCAAGCATCCACTTTCAATTAAACTATCTTCTCTTTTTCAAAGACATATTGCTAAGATTGATGAAGGGATGGAACAGATGTGAAGGTTGAGTTGAAATTCATTACAGAGGAAACTGGAGGCCCATTTGCAAGGATTCTTGGGATATAAATGATGCAGAAATCCTATGTAACCAACTTGAATGTGGACATGCTGTATCAATTTCAGGATACATCAGCTTTCCCCATAGCATAGGAGGTAGTTTCATTGGTGATGTGCCGTGTATAGGGAATGAACACTACCTATGGGAGTGCTCTCGTAATTGTACAGACATAACTGTCTCCACCATGAGGGTTCCAGTGTCACGTATTCAAGTTTTCTTGGATTTCTTTTCATTATTTATACTACTGAATGCTGTAAAATCACTTAATTTCTGAGTTATAGTATGAATATCATTTTGGAAAATATTTGCTTAGAGCTTTTATTTTGTGATTATTGGAAAACTGTATATTGAAGCTCAATCTACTGGCTTAGTTACCAATACTCCTAGGTTTTCCAATCCTGAATGTTTCCCATGCTTTGTTTAATGTGGATATGGAAGCACATATTACAAAACTGACACCCTTTCATACGTTAGTAATGTGGGCTGCATAATCCTCCAAGACAGGAGGAAGTTTTTATTGCACTGTTAAGGCAGAAGAGATTAAGAACGTTTTTACTTACTATGGCCATTGACATCTCTAGAGTGATTTTTCAAGTAAGGCAATCAGGACCTGCCATGTTAAGGATGTTAAGAGCCTCAGATCTTTGAAGACCCACAGCTTCTAAGAAGGAAGTGATATGCACAGAGTTCGTGGAGCTTCTTGATACTTATCCAAAATGTAGCTAATATTGAAACTTTTTCAGTGCCTGTACGTGAGCGCGGAGGCTTGATTCATCTTTGTAATTTATCTAAAGCTTTATCTAAAGCTCACTGAATGAGCTTTAGTTCAAGTGCCCCTGCCTCCAGTTTGAAGCATGGGCACATTGATAAACGAGACGCTGTGGTGCTTCAGAGTGGCTCACAGAGCGGGAGCATGTGTAAAAATGTCCTTTATATCTGCCAGGTGCCAAAGGAGTTGCAAAATATTATATTCTTGTCCACTGGCTTTCAGTTTGTTAGGAAAGAAAGCCAGCTCATAGTTTCATGCTTACCTCCTGCAGCTACCCAATCATTATACAAAATAATTCATTGTTTTGCATATCTTAGTTGGTAACCTTGAAATTTAAAACTATCTAATACAAAAATATGTATAAGTCAGATGGGGTGAAATGTTTAGTTTAACTATTTAGTTGCTATTATATAGTAATCATAGCAAAAGCTATGACTAAAATATACACTTTTTTGTATTTTTTTATTCACAGCTTCCATAGGAACTGAAATACCTGGTAATTTTTTTTCATATTTATTTAATTACTTTTATTATAAAAATATTTTAAAATATAAAATAACTTGTTGTCCTAGTGATCACCAATTTTAATAATATTTAATCATTTAAAATGTATTCCTAGAAGAAAGTGACTTTTGGAAGTGCTGTGTATTTTAATTACAAGGGAAGATCACAGCATCTGCTTACACAGCCCCCATTTTCTATTAATTTCAGTAGCAAAATTGAGCTGGAGAGTTAACAACTGAGTAGATACACCCAAACAAGTGCTAACCATGACTACACACTTGATATGACAAATATATCATAAAAAATGCTCCTCATACATTTCCTGGACCATCACCACTACAACAGCACTCAAACCCTACTACACACCTGAATAACTGTGCCTCAGTTTCACAAAATGAATCATGAAACAATAAATGATCATGTACTGGACAGCAGTCTGTATCCCAGGATGTGATCTAGTCTATTGGCACAAAGGCCGGTTCCACACCAGGGGTGTGCCTGTGCAGCAGCACAAATAGTAGTGGCACCACTACTTTGTGCCGTATGCGTGCCCCTGCCTGCTGCTCCATGTGCTGCGGGATGCAGGAGGGGGCTGGCTGGGGCACAGGATGCCTCAGCATGGGCTAGTCACGCTTTGCACTGAGGCACCCTGTGCCCCCGCCAGCCAGGGAGCAGCAAGTGGAGATGGGGGAGCTGCTCCCCACCTGGCTGGGCACAGTGTACCTTGAGACAGGGGAGCAGGCACCCTTGGGCTGCTCCCCTGTCTCAGCACGGGGGCTCTACCTGCCTACCTGCCGGCTTCTCTGTCTAGAGGCACCCAGCATCCACCCAGCCAGGGAGCAGGTGGCTGGGGTGTAGGGTGCCTCAGCACAGGGGCTCCACAGCATGCAGAGACGAGCAGGCTACCCTGGTCTGCCTGCTCTCCTATCTCTGCATTTGTCCTGGATCCTGCCACTTGGGTGTGGTTTGCGCTGCTTTTTTTCTAGGTTTTATTTTTTTACTACCGGGAAGTCCCAGTAGCAAATTTGGCCCCAGCACGGCAAATCAGCAGTGCCGCACACTGGTTAATGTGCAACTTGTGCTGCTTGTGGCACTGCAAAGAGATTTGCAGCTCCACAAACCACACATGCCTGAATGGCTGGATCCAGCCAAAGTGTCTATCACTACTGTGAATTGAAAATCTCCCGAGAGAGACAAAAGTCACGCTATAACCTCACATCTTTACCTGCCAGATTTCAGCATAATTTAGAAATATTTTTCCTGTGTCTGATCATTAAAACCATGACAGATAAGCAGTAAGAGAAGTTCCAAAACCACACATAAAATACCTGAATCAACTCCAAAAAGATTTGAAGGGTGGTTTTGTTGGCAAGTTTGCTATTAGTTTGTTATTTATTTCCCATTTACATTGACTCATCTTTCACAGAAGTGTCATTGAGACTGATAAATGGCAGACATAGATGCGAAGGTCGAGTTGAGGTATTTTACCAAGGAACCTGGGGAACAGTCTGTGATGATTCTTGGGACATAAATGATGCACAGGTTGTGTGCAGGCAGCTTGGATGCGGAGAGGCTGTCTCAGCCATGGGAAATGCCCATTTTTCTCAAGGTTCAGGAATTATTCTTTTGGATGATGTACAGTGCCAAGGGAATGAATCCTGCCTATGGTGTTGCTCCCACAGAGGATGGGCTGTGAATAACTGTGGTCACAAAGAAGATGCAGGTGTCCTCTGCTTAGGTACTTTCTGATTTTTCAGATCTATGTCCAAGACAGTCTTGTGAATCTCATACTTATGCAGAAGTCCTGTCGCTCACACAAAACCAGAACACTTTGTTACGCGGAGAACAAAAGAGCAGTACTGCAGTGGGCCAAAGAAGGGCAGAACATAAGTAATCCTGGTCCTAGTCTCTCTCTCACCCCTTGCAGAGGGGACTAGTTAAAATGTTTGCAGAGTCATGGAGGAAGGATTTCTCTCAGCCCCAAATACTCAGTGAAAGAGACTGATGGACCGAGTCAGAAACACCAAGGAGGATGAATGTAGAAGCTGCAACTATATTTGAACACTATATTGCAGGGAGTTGGGGGAATGACTTCATTTTCTTTAAAAAAAAAATCATGTTTATTCTTGAAAATAAACTTGAAGTAACTAACCTGTAAACTTGTGTTTGTTGTTTGTTCACAGCTTTGAGAGGGCATGATACGCCTGGTAAGTCTTATCTCCTGTTACTTTCTCAGAATGTTTTTTGTTTAAAAACTGATCTTTAACTATTCACTGAAAAGAAAAAAGCACGTGTTGGAGGGGAAGGAACAGTTCCAAACTCTTTGCCAGCAGTTTTTTAAATGCTCTGTGATATTGGATGTCTCCAATTTTGAACATATGACTCAAAAGAACCCTAGAAAAGTATGATTCTTTGGGAGAATGGATACTTCGCGCTTATTGCTTCAAGATATCTCAAGCTGAGCTCTGACAATTACTAGTGACTTAAAAATGTTGGTCCATATTTATGGTAATCACTACAAAAGATTAAAGCTGTTATTTGTGCAGACCAATCAAAAGAAATTCATATTTATCTAGTGATTTTCCAGTGTTTTTGTGTAAAGGGAACTCCATTAATCTAAGTAGTGCAAATGTTCCTATCTACCACTGTATAAGAAATCTTTTGTTAGCTAATCTAAGATATGATTTTTTTTCTGTCTTTCATAGAAATATCACTGAGATTAGAAAATGGGAGTAATGCATGTGAAGGTCGTATTGAAATATATTACAAAGGACACTGGGGAACAGTCTGTGATGATTCCTGGGACCTGAATGAAGCACAGGTTGTGTGCAATCAGCTTGGATGTGGCCAGGCCATTTCAGCACCAGGAAATGCCTACTTTGGCAAAGGTTCAGGAAGTATTTTCCTGGATGATCTGCAGTGCGATGGAGAGGAATCCTACCTATGGGAGTGCCCTCACAGGGGCTGGTCCTTCCATAATTGTGGCCACCAGGAAGATGCTGGCATTGTGTGTTTAGGTAGCTTATGCTTCATTTCCTTTATCTTAAGTGGGAATTACATTTTGCAATATGGAAGATCATTATGAAAATACCCTGGGGAACAAATTGCCACTATGGCCTGCTCCTGTGGTATGTTGATGCCCTGGGAGGTATGTACTACGTGCGTCCCCTGCCAACCTTGCGTGTGTACCCAATTCCCACAGCACATTTCTCTGAAGCAGTTTATACAGGGAGAGACATTTTCTACAGTGCACATCATATGTGCAGGTACCTTGCATAATGTACTAAATGCCTTTCTTTAAGACCCTGAACCACCATGGGAGGCAAATAGGTGTCTAGTAGGCACCTAGAGCCAAGGTCCCATTCATCCTGCTTCCAATGCCATGTTAAACCTCCTTTACCACTCCAGTTCTTTTAACATCTACTCGCTCGGACCAGAGGCCTTCAGTTCCTCTCTGTTCTGTTGTTTTTCACCTTCATCATTACCTCTTCCTTCACCACTTTCCCTTAGCCACTGTATTACTGCACCAAAAGCATCTTCCCCTTTCCCCTCTGACTCCACTGTCTATTAATCTCCCTTCTGTCCCCTTCCACTACCTATTCACAAGGATAATTTTTTGCTTAAGTAGCCTGAATGCCTGAATTTCCTACTGTCCTCAAATTATATTGCCTCAGAATAAATATGTTGCCTTCCATTTTTTGATTAATTCCAGATTTCCCAAACTGACTGGCTCAGTTGTTCATCAGGATCAAATGCTACTGCACATCTCCTAAAGCCACCCACCTCCTACTATCATAAAAATGATCTTGTCAAGGAAGTGAATTCCAGTGCACTCACTTTTACACTAGCATTTTTAATACAATTTCAACTATAAAACTTCATTTAACACAATTAAAAATCAAGTTCAGCCATAGTCCTACATATAAGTGCAATTTTGGAAAAGGTTATGGAAGGTAGAATGAAGGACTGTGGCTAGCAAGAAAAAAAAAGCCGAGGCCCAAAATTCACATGCAAGTCCAGTGCAAATTGCCTCAACATTTGGGAACATTTAATTAGAGCCACTAAGTTTTTAACTTGTTCTTCTTCATTCACAGGTCCTGACAGAACTGATGCACCTGGTAGGTTTCGTGTCTCTCTACTTGATCATTTTTAGTGTCAAAATATGTTTTTTCTGAGACGTTAAACAATTCACTAATGCAAAAGTTGAGGAAAAATACAAAACAGTTTAGGGGAATACATCATTACAAGCCTCTGGCCTCAGTTTTCAAAGACACTAATGGGTTCCTCAGTTTGTGTCAACTAACATGAGAGAAAATGAAAGAGGTTTGAATTTTAGAGGATAGAAGTAAGCACTTATTTAGCAGTCTGTGCAAAGCAGCTAGTTTTTGCTTAAGATTCAGCCGATTTGCTGGACAGTGATTCGATTCGTTGATTCAAATCACTGTCCCAAATTGATTCGGCTGAATCTGATTTGGAGATTCAGCTGCTACCAAATAAGCTGAAATGAACAGGTCCCATCCCTTACCCACTCTCCCAGCCGTGTCAATGACTGCCCTGCCCGGCCCCATTGTCCCAGCACTTTAAAAAAAAAAAAAAAAGAAAAGAAAAGCCTCGCCCTCACCGGCTCCTGCCAGGCAGAGGGGTGATCTCTGCTGCCCCCACTGCTCTGATCTGCATAGGTGGGGCACTGCCACAAGCCCCCAGAGGCCCCAATGGCCACTACAGCAGTCTGTGAGTGTGGGGCTTCTTTCTTTCTTTCTTTTTTTAAGGGCCAGGATGCTGGGGCCAGGCAAGGCAGCCATTGACAGGGCTGGGAGAGCGGGCAGGGGATGGGGCCGGTCCCCTCCCCCCTCCTCCAACCCCCTCCCACCCCCTACTTACTGGCACAGAGCCTGGGTCCAGCTCCCTGCAGTGGCAAGCAGTGACTGCCCGAATCTCTGAATCTTCTCCAAATCTTTTCCGAATCAATTTGGAGGCTTTGAATCTATTCAGACCTTTTAATTAGTCTCCCAATTCAATTCCAATTCAGAGATTCAGCCACCAAATCACCTCTGAATCAAATCAGCAACCAAAACTTCACACAGCCCTATTATTTAGAATACCTATTCAGCTTTACAAAACTACACCAAGCCATTAGCTTTCTTTGGCTGATGTGGCTGATAATGTCACCGATAAATGCCCTGTGCATGCGCGCAGCTGCAGTGCAGCATACAGGCAGCCAGGAGCGCAACCTGGTAGTGTGGAGAGCAACCGGGTTCAGCTAGTAAATCTGTTGTAAAGGAAGGGTATGTAGGGGTCAGATCAAGGCCCTAATGATGAGGGAGGAAGTGGGGCTGGGGTAGGGGTAAGTGCTACACAGCCAGGGTGGGTCATGGGACAGAACCACAAGCAGCTCACCCGGGGAGCATGGGGAGAGGGGTGGTGGCTCCCATGTCTGCACACCCCCCCGCAGAGCATGAGGGGGGGTGCCCCCAGATCTGCACATGGGGTGGGGGCAGGCTGCTGCTGTGGGCTGAGCCGGGGATGGGTGCCAGGCTGTTCCCAGTGGGGAGGGTTGGGCCGGGGCTGCACTCAGGGCAGGTGGTGGCAGCACTGGGAGGGGGGTTACAAACTCCCATTTGAGTACCACCATCACCTGCCCTGAGTGCAGCCCAGCCCAGCCCCCCACCAGGAAGAGCTTGGTGCCACCTGATTTGGGCTAGCAGAGGACTGGGGGGGAGCAGGTGACACCCCAGTCCCCCACCAGCCCAGATTAGGCACACCACCCACCAACCTGGATCAGCCCTGGCATCCCAGATCCCTACTAACCAGCCCCCTGGCCCCAGCTCACCTGTGAGTGCCAGCACGGTCCTGGAGGAGCAAGCAGGGAAGATGTAAATACACCCCCAGCAACCTTACTTTGCTCATAGATTATGAATTTTCTTTTACACTTTCTAAGAGAGATCTCAGTAGCCAATATGAAAACCTGAGCATACATGGTAAGATTTTCTTTTCACTTTTGTAATACACTAAAATTTGTGCAGTAGGCTTAGCAAACTGGAGCCAAGTATGATTTGGATCTTATGCCCAATCCCCATGTGCATCCTCACCTCTGATATGCTTCTAGGGGAGTATGCTAGAGGATTTGATTCAGGGAATGGTAGCAACATTTCCTCGGTTACATATTAACAGTGCAGGACTCTGGCTTGACTGTTTTATATGCCGAGATCCTGGTGTGGGCAGGAAGAGTGGTTCAGATATCCCCAGTAGGATAGAGTCTCCTCCAGTTCAGTGTTCCAACAGGAGAACCTCCTGCTCCACTCACCTTAGCAAACCAACCCATGCTACCTCTCCTATAGCCCAACACCCTCAGTCCTCTCCTCTCCAACAGCCTCCACCCCTTCTCCTGACCTGAGACTCCACGTGTAGTCCCACGCCTTCACAACATTGTCCTTACTCCTCTTCTGTCATAACTGAAATCTGCCACTGTTACCTCCTCCTCTTTATGGCTTGATCATCTCTCAGGGCACCTGTTGAAGGTATTCCTTTCTGGGAGTGGAGTGCTTTCTGTTTGTTCTTCTATACTTGTATTAAGTAGCTGCAAATGAGAAAATTCTCTTTTACCAAAGGCAAACATATACAGAATAACCTCTTTGTTTTGTCTCTATGGGTTTCTGCCAAGGATCACAGTGACATTACAATATCAGAGTGTGGGCTAGGATTTTGCACTACTGCATGAGCTGCCCAGAACTTGGGAAAGTTGGCAGCTTAGAAAGCATTTTGGCTACACTATCCCTGCCTGTGCAGAATAATCCTTTCAGCCCATGCGAACAATGGTGGTTTCTATATTGAAAGCTGAGCTCTCATTTGAACGGGTTTTTCAATTAAAAGTACTTCAAAATAACTAGAGTCCTAAATATCTGGGCCTTTCTTTGTGATCACGACAACAAACATGAAGAGAATGTTACTCATTCGCCCACTTCAGGGGAATAGCTCTTTTTTTATTAATCTTCCAAAATGTTGTGCCGTTATAAAGCATGAAGTGAACCAAGCCAGTGCACATGCTCAAGTATGCAAACTTAATTGAAAATTCAATTTCATGGATATCCTGAGGCAAGTAAGGTCCAGCTATTGACTATAGCTTTACCTAAAGGATAGCCCTATTATGCAGAACACTTATGAATATTCATCTTAGGGGGCTTAACCAACTACAAGCACTAGTCCAGAATCAAAAACATCTTTAATTCATACATAGATTAATAAGTATGATTGAATCTTTTTAAGATAAATTTTGTTAGCCAATTATAAAATAAAAAAGCCAGTGAAGGATAAGATTTTCTTCTGTTTTTCATAGCAATTTCACTAAGGCTGGAGAATGGAAGTAGTAGTTGTGAAGGCTGGGTTCAAATTTATTATGAAGGACACTAGGAAACAGTCTGTGATGATTCCTGAGACATGAGTGATACACAGGTTGTGTTCAGTCAGCTTGGATGTGGTCAGGCCACTGCAGCCTCAGGAAAGGCTCACTATGGTCTGGGTTCTGGAAATATTCTCCTGGATGAAGTGAAGCACAGTGGAAATGAATCCTTGCTGTGGCAGTGCTCTCATAGCGGGTGGGGTGTCCACAGGGAAGTTGCTGGTATTATCTGCTCAGGTACATTCTGCTTTATTCTTTTCAGACTGCTTTTTTGTTATTACAGCATAAATTATGGGTAAGAGCTCATGGGAATTTGCCTCTCTGCACCTCCTGTGCTGTTTACTGAGGCTACTATGTGCCATGTGATTCTTTGCCTGCACTGCACATGTGCACTACATCCCCCATCCTCCATAGCAGTACTGTACTAGGAAGTTCTCCAAGGAGGCAAGGAGACATGCCCATGATGCATATAAAGATCGGAGTCACTTTACATGACCACTTGATGTGGCCCAGGACTCCCAATGAAAACATGAGAACAAGGAAAAAGGCTCTGTTATCCCTAGTCAGAGACCTCCCCTATCCCTGGCACATCCCTAGAAGTTGACTCTCCAGCTGAGTTTACCACCCCCCACTTATGCCATCTGTCCTCCTTTTCTATCTATTCAGTCTGCAACTTCACCAGTCTCTACCTTTTTCTCTTCTGAGCTAAGAACCAGGGTACATACTTCTATTCCTCCTAATTGTCTTTCTTTAATAATTTCTCTATAGCCCCTGGCACATGTTACACTTAAGATGTGATTAACTGGTTAACCACGTATTAAGTAGTACCCTGGCCACACATTCATACAATTAATCTTATGATAAAACCAGGAATAAGTGACAAAGTTATTACACAAAATATGTCTGATGCCTTTGTGGCTGGTTCCTGTCACACCTTTAATTGAACAGGTGGCCAATGCTCCCAGCCTCCGGACCACATTCCTGTGCGCTCCAGAGGCTGGGAGCACTGATAACTGATTGGGGCTCCCTGCTGTCTCAATCTAAAATGCCCTGTGATCAAGATAGGTTGTGGAAAGCTGCCTTCCTTTTTATTTTCCTTTTGCTGTCATGTTTCCGTCAAAATTGGGCTTCAAATTACCTGTATACCTAATATCTGCAGAGCAGATTCAAGTACTTCTGCATATCAGCTTGACTTAAGCAGACTTAGAGCAAGAAGCTGGAAAGCCTTTTAGTGATTCAGTACATGTCTTGAGAGTAATTCTTTGGTCATCATTGTTAGGTGAGTATTAAAGCCAAGTAAATATTTCAATACCTTTTGAATACCAATTTTATTTCCTTGCAACAGTGGTAGATGCCACAACTTAGATGGGAAGCCACTGAGCCCAGTTTAGCGTAGATCAGAGACATGTATCTAGAAGCTAATACTAGAAGTAGGAGAGCCCATCAAGCTTAAAAACTAGGGGAGTTTGTTGATGGTGGTCTATATATCAGGACCTCTTGTTCAAATTCAGCATAATAACTCTACTCTGCAGCACACAAGGCAGACAAACTAAGGTAGAATGGATTTTAGAAGGCTTAGAAATATTTATCTTTAAGTAGAAAGGGACCCAGCCCACTTTAAATATTGGTAAGACAGTAGTCCAATAACAAAACAGGTTTTTCAAGGAGAAAAATCACTTTATCCACCCATGATAAAATACTCTCCATTTTATATGATTGAAGATGGAATCAGACAGAAATGCTTTGGAAAAAAATAATGTATGTTGGGTGATAGGCTCTGAGCCAAGGTATAAAAAAATGGGAAAAGCAGCATTCACACTTGCATTTGCAGCCACACTTTCACAAAGTTTGCATGCATTACTCACATTCCTAGGATTCTGGACAAGATCATTTACTTTAAGACTATAGCTAAAGTTATTCATATGACAATTTTTTTCTGTTTGATTCACAGCTCTTGAAAGAACAGAACTACCAGGTAAGATTTTAAATGGGTATTGAGTTTGATGAGTTGTTGTGGGCCAGGTCATCCCCCTCCCCCTGCCTCATTAATTTGCTAAACTCAACAGCTCACTAAAATGTGGAATGGGGCCACGGGCAAGTGAGGAGCAGTGTTCAGGAGTGAGATGGGTGGGTGAGGCCAGGATCATGGGGTGGGATTGTGGAACAGCCCCTGCCCTGTGGGGCAGCATGGGGTGGGTGGGTGTGTGTGACACAGGTGCATCTGTGTGGGTGTGGGTGTGGGGTGCTGCCTTGGTACTAGGTTGTGGGAGCTGACTGGAAATGAGAAGAAGGAGGAGGGGGCAGGGGGCATGTGCAGCAGAGTTTGCCCAGGTAGCACGGTCCACAGTTGCCCCTGCAGTGCTCTGAATGAGGCCAAGGCCCAGATGCTCCCACCTGGGCAGCTCAGCCGCACTCCAGCCTACCCCCACTGGCTCTGCCTCAGCCAATGCACATCTTCTGGTGCAGCTGCTCCTGGTGCAGCTGCAGCCACCCGGATACTGCTCTGTTATCCTTGCCTGCTGTGGTGGCTCCTCCTGCTGCTGCTGCTGTGTTGCTCCTGGCTGGGAGGAAGCTTCAGCCAGACAGCTCCTGACCCAGTGCATGGGGTTCGTGCTCCAGCTCCTGGCTGCCTGTGCAGGGCGGGTGGAGTGCAAGGAAGGCAGCTGGGAGTGGATGCCAGAGCCCCATGCACTGGGGCATAAGCCACCCAGCTTTCTCCTGGCCAGGAGCATTGCAACAGGAGCAAGACGAGGAGCCACTGCTGGAGGCAAGAGGAGCAGAGCAGCACCCAGGTGGTTTCAGCTGCACCAGGAGTAGCTCTGCTTGCAGCTGTGTGCTGCTCACCAGGCCAGGCTGGCAGGAGCAGGCTGGACTATAACACAGGCTACCCCAGATGGGGCTCAGCCCCATGCAGAGTGCCATGGGGGAAGCAATGGGCTGGAAATAGTCAACTGGCAGGCATCCCCCACAGGACAGATTCAGTCACTTGGTGGGAATGATCTGGACTGCATATACTGTATTTTGCCCACCCCTGTCTAGTAACTTCCAGGCCTCAATTCTTGGTTGTTCCCCTTGACAGCACCCTTAAAAAAAGCTTGAGTTTCAGGTATGGATACTCTGCATTAAAACGTTTTGTACTGCTTGAAAGGTATTCATATAACCCAAACAGTGCAAATGTGCTCACATGTCATTTTTACATGAATTTCAGTTTTACTTTGGTAGGTTATACTGTTGGCTTTACATTTAAGATGCAGATGCCTTGTTCTGGGGGAGGGGAGGTGCCTGAGGGCAGAAACGCCAACAAATGTCTTTTTTGTGATGCTGACTGAGCAGGATACTGTGTAGTAGTGCTGCATCACAGTTTCTATCACATGATGCTAGCGTGTAGCAGTTTTGGGCAACTGCATAGTCAGCAGCTTGTGTAGACACAGCCTATAAGGTGGGTAGAAAACTGTTTGCCCTTGTTGTGTTAGCAGCATGGTACATGCCCCCTCAATAATGTGAATAAATGTGATCAGCATTTATTAAAGGTAATTACTGAATTGAGATGGGCCACTTCTCTTAGAATTTTACTTGAACGTAAGCCATAATTGTGGCTTGTATATCATGAAGGTTAAGGCTAGATCACACAGTTTCTTTGCAGCATGTTATATATCTGGAAAGTTGTCCTGCTGGGAGGTGTATCATACTCTTCCTTTCTACATGGATCTCATATTTTCCTTTAAATTAGTTTGCTTTTGTACAGGAGTAAGATCTGATGGTTTTTCTTTTTCCACAAAAAACAGATATTAACATCACAACTTTTGTGCCATCTGCTTACTTACAACTTTCCTAAACCAATGATGATAACATCAAAAATATGCCAACTTCACTTAAAATTATACTAGTAATTATTATTATTAGGACGTAATTCTGACACCCAGCAGCAAATGTCAAGGGCTAATACATATATATTTAACTCATTTTTCCACAAAGTCTGGAATGTAAACCTATTAACTAACAATTCAGTTTTCAGAGAGAAGAGGGGGTCTTCTCGGGTTTTTTGTTTGTGTTTTGTTTTGTTTGATTTTTCCTCTTTTACTGATTGTTTGTTCTCTTGTTCTCACTAATAAGTTATTCCCTCATTTTTCTGGTCACATTTGCAGAAGACATGACACCAGAACTCCGTATCTTCTTTGCGTCCACTTCAACTTTGTGTCCAACTGCTGAAACTTCCTTAGCCTGACGAAGGGTTTTTGAACCCGAAAGCTTGCTTAATAAATATTCTCCAACTATTTGTGTTGGTCTAATAAAAGATATCAAATTCACCCAAGGAACTTTGTCTGCCTATGTCCTTAGACCAACACGGCTACAACCTAAGCCCCTGCTTCCATCAAGCACAACACTTAACTAAAACGGTAGCAAAACTGCACAATTTTAAATATGTATTTATAAAGAAAAAATGCATTATATTATTGCCCAGTGTGAGAAATGCAACTGACCTACTTTGTGGCCTATTAATACTTGTCTGCGATCCAGGCTATGCAATACATTCAGACATAAATTGTTTAACCAAGAGCCTATACGATCTTCATTTTCCTAACATAGGGCTGCCAGTGCATTATGAAATAATGTAGATTTGGCTCTGCACCTCAAGGGGCATTCAGTTATCATGACTCCATGTTTGTATGTCTTGTTGGCCTAACAGATGTCTAACTGGAGGTGGATAAATCCAGTTGTCGCATTTTGTTCTGGAACCAAGTCAGCATAGAAGTTAGGCAGAATACTTATTTGTAACTTGAATTTTTGTCAGATGCTGGATTAATATGATGTCCTTGAGTATTATCCTTGAGTATAGTGTGAAACCTATTCTTCGAAGCTATATGTTCCAGATTACTGAATTCAAAGTGATTGAAACACAAACCATGTTTATCACTAAGGTATAAGTACATAAAGGCACAATTGTTTAGTGATAACATGACCCCTGCTGAGTATCTTTACTTGGTAGCTGTATTATTCCCCATATCAAATTTTGCTGTTTCTTCATGTAATTTTAGCATCTATGTACTATGATGAGAATTGTTTCTGTGTTTTCCACTTTAACAGATCCTGGAAGAACAACACCTGTAGCAGCAAGTAAGTCAGATTTTTAATTATCTTTGGCATACATTTTACAGTATACTTTTTGCTACCTTTTGCACTTTACAATGCCCTTTTCCTAACATCTTGTCTGGGCCAATTTCCAAGACTTTTCTAGTGTTTGCACCACTGTTCTCAGTCCCCTTGTTCCTGAAGCCATGCCGTCCCATGAATCTTTAGTTTAGCTCAGTCTCCACTTGCATGGAAAATTAATATATGCTTGCCTGTTATGGTGGTTTATGCTATTCAGTAGGGCTGCGTGAAGCTTCAGTCTCTGATTCGATATAGTGGAGATTCAGCCCAATTCGGTAGCTGAATCTCTGAATCTGAATCGAATCAAGAAACCCTTTAATCTCTCCAAATAGATTCGGAGGGATTTGGTGATTTGGACATAGACACAGTTTTAAATGTTTTTTTTACATACCTCAAGGTACCAGGCGGCTTGTCAATGCTGTGATGGTGTGGCAGATGGAGCATCCCACAAGAGTGTGGAGGGGCTCCAGACGTGCTTGGTGGTGAACCCAGAAGTGGACCAGAAGCACTTCCAGTCCACATCTGGGTCCACCGCGGGGTGCACTGGGCCCCCCCCCCCCACAACCCTCAGATCCGTGGCTGGTGCCTCCTGGGTCTGGGGGTGCACCCAGGGTCTCCCCATGGCTGATCACTGAGCAACGGGGGTGCAGGAGAGCCCCCCAGTGTGCTCTCCGGCAGACCCAGAAGTGGACCGGAACTGCTTCCAGTCCACTTCCTGGTTCACTGCCGAGCATGCGGGGGTCCCATTTCCCCCCCCCCCCCTGGCCCCGGGGGGGGCCCCACCTCCCCGCAGCATTCACAAGCTTTGCCTGGTACCTCAAGGTATGTAGAAAAATTATTTACAGCTGTGTCTATGGCCAAATCGCTGATTCTCTGAATCAGCATTGAACATTCAGATTCGGATTCAGCCGAATCGAATCAGGACAGTGATCTGAATCAACTAATCGAATCATCATCCCTGATCCGGGCCTAATCCACATCCAAATCTGAAGCGAATACAGCCCATTTCACACACCCCCACTACTCAACCACCAGAACTATGCTAAAAATGTAGTCCTCTACCACTGAAGTAAAGAGCAAGAATGTCCTGAATACAACAGCTATTGAAATTATTCCCCATTTTATACTTGTGCATGTGATTTTTCCTTCCTACACTTACTCCTTTGCAGTTGTTCTTATTGAATGTTATTGAATGTTACCAATCCAAGAAAGTTCCTTTGTTACCTCATGGGATGTATCCTAGAAAAGTTCTTCATATATTTGGCATTAACCTAGGTATTCAGGGGAGAATCTGCTCCATCCAGGCAGTGTGCAGGCTCTTCCTACATTCTGGAAGTCTCTTTAGATTGAAAACAGCATGAATATATTAACAATGCAATTGCTATATCCTGTGTTCTCCCCAGATGCATCTCTGAGGCTGGTGAATGGAGAGGACATAATACTTTCTTAAGCAGCTCTTGCTAGCTAATATAAAAAAAACAAACACATGCAGACAGAAAATACTCTTTTTTTACATAGACATATCACTGAGGCTGAAGAATGGAAGCAGTAGGTGTGAAGGCCGCGTTGAAATTTATTATGAAGGGCACTGGGGCACGGTCTGCGATGATTCCTGGGACATGAATGATGCGCAGGTTGTATGCAGCCAGCTTGGATGTGGTCAGGCCATTGCAGCCCCAGGACATGCCAGCTATGGCCATGGCTCTGGACATATCCTCCTGGATGATGTGAAGTGCAGTGGGAATGAATCTGTTTTGTGGCAGTGCTCTCACAATGGGTGGGGCGCCCATAACTGTGGTCCTCAGGAAGATGCCAGTGTCATCTGCTCAGGTGCTTCTACTCACGTTCCTATACCTCATGTGCTTCATGGGAATAGTAGCATGAGTTATGGCTGAGAGATGATTACAAAGAAATTGTGGGAAGCAGCATGCCCCCTGCGTCATTTGGGTGTGTTATCTAATACCCTATGCCTGTCTCCCCCCATAACTGTTTTCTGTAGCTATGCAATAATCCTCCTGGAGTTGAAGGCATATTTTCACCATGTGACTAAAGAAAGGGGCATTTCACCCTAAGGTCTTAGGAGAAACTTGGTGGCAGGAGAGGAACTCAACAGTCCAAGAGAGACATTAATCCCCAGGTCCTGGCATACCCACAGCAGAAGGGTACCAGTGGATCATCCCTATGCCACCTCTTCTCCTGTCTTCCTTCCTCTCCCACTCCCTCTGTCTGTACCCACTTTCCAAATCCCATCCCCCATACCCACTAACTGGCTTCATAGTCCATTTCTCAATATCCTTTCTTTATCATGCTCCCAATTTCCCTCACACTAACACTCCCCCCTCCTTTTGGCTTTATTCTTTCCGTTCTCTCATGGAAAGCACGTGACATACTTTTGCAAAAAACAGATTGGGCACTGTCTGCTTGTTTTGCTTTACTCCACTTATGTGGCCATAAAATAGAAAATGTCTTTGATAAAGGTACACCTTTGCAAGATGCCTTTTCTTTTCTTTACTCTGGCTTCCTGTGGGTCATGGTCAAGAGGTACCATATGATCTCTTGAGGCAGTGAACACTGGCAAGCTAGAAAGTTTTTTGGCTTCTCAGCCTGTATGAACAGTGTAATCCAGGAGTTGGCGACCCCTAATATGCGTGCCAAAACACAGAACATGAAGACTTTTTGTTAGGCATGTACACCTTGGGGCAGATATCAGGAAAGGTGAGTGGGGCCTGATCCTTTGTTGTGGCAATTCAACCCCGGCCCTTTCCCTGCTGCCCACCCTGAGATGCGTGTGTACTCGCTGCCAGCCACAAGCTGGACTGGGGCTCTAAATAGGATGCATCACCTTTGGGAATCAAAAATTAAATCCAAAGGTTGAGGCTAAAATGAGTTGCTAGAATGCATCAAATTAAAGAAAAGCTGATGTTATTTTTGCAGGGGGATTCATATTTCAAATGTCCCCAGATCCGTAACTCTACATTAACCAGCACTGTCATACAGCACACCTAATTTCAGGAGAATCCATGGAATTCAGAGGTTTTAGAAAACGGTATCTCCCTTAATTATCAGGACTATCAGTTTGACTTCTCTATAAAAATAAGATTCTGTAAAGAAACAATCCTAGCACATCCCTTTTTCACCAGAGTTTTTCTCTATAAAATTCTTCTTCTTTCAGTGTAATTGAAGATAGAACTAGTCACAAGTGTTAGTTTTGAATCCACCTTTGCAAACAGGTAGGGGATATTGAATATTGAACCCAGTTACATAGAAAGGTGACTGGCAAAGTTCACACCTACATTTGTATTCAGATATTCAGAGTTTGGAATTGTATATTTTTTTCTTTAAAAAATAGGTGATGTTACTCATATGAGGGCTTTGTTTGATTTTTTTCAACTTGTTTTCCGTTTCATTCACAGCTCTTGAAGGAAGAGAGGCACCAGGTAATCTTATCTCAAAAATACACAAGCTCAAGAATAAATACAGCATAGGTTTAAGGGAAATGAAAGTTTACAAACTCCTGCCAATTTTTTAAAAGGGGGCTAGTACAGGGGTGGGCAAGTATTTGGGCACAGGGACTACATAAGGAGTTTGAGTTGTTGCGGGCCAGGTCATCCCCTTTCCACCCACCCCTTACCCAACCTCAACAACTTGCTAAACTCAACAACTCACTAAAACTTCCTATGTGGAGTGGAGCCACGGGCGAGTGAGGAGCAGTGTTCAGGAGTGAGATGGGTGGGTGAGGCCAGGATCATGGGGCAGGATTGTGGAACAGCCTCTGCCCTGTGGGAGGGCATTGGGTGAGGGGGTGGACGGTGTGTGTGTGTGCACTCGCATTTGTGTGTGAGGAGCTACCTGAGTGCTAGGTCCTGGGAGCTGACTGGAAATGAGGGGAAGGAGGAGGGGTAGTGGGCATGTCCAGCAGAAATCGCCCTGGCAGAGTGGTCCACGGCTGCCACTGCAGTGCTCCGAATGAGGCCATGGCCCAGACACTCCCACCAGTACATACTGGCTGGGGCAGTGCAGCCAATGCCCACTGGCCCTGCCCCAGCCGGTGCATACAGCTGCTCCCAGTGTGGCTGCAACCACCCGGGTGCTGCTTTGTTCCCCACTCCTCCTGCACTAGCTTCTCCTCTGGCTTCTCCTCCTCCTTCTGCTGCATTGCTTCTGGCTGGAAGGAAGTTTCAGAAGGATGGTTCCTGCCCCAGTGCACGAGGTTGTGGCTCCAGCTCCCAGCTGCCTGCACTGGGCAGATAGAGTGGATGGAAGGCAGCTGGGAGTGGGAGCCAGTGCCCTGTGTGCTAGGGCTGGAACCACCCACCTTTCTCCTGGCCAGGACTGGCACAGGAAGAGTGGGAGGAGGAGCCACCACTGGAATTAAGGGGAGCAGAGCAGCACCCAGGCGGCTGCAGAGGCACTGGGAGTACCCCGCTGAGAGCTGTGTGCTGCTGATCAGGGCCAGGCTGGCAGAAGCAGGCTGGAGTGTGGCACAGGCTATCCCAGGTGGGCCTCAACCCCATGCAGAATTGCATGGAGGCAGCCATGGGCCACATTGAGTCAAGTGGCGGGGGGCCCCCACAGGCTGGATTCAATCAGTTGGTGGGCCAGATCCAGCATGCCTGCCATATTTTGCCCACCCCTGGTCTCATAACTTCCAGGTCTCAATCCTTGGGTGTTCCCCTTGACAGAACCCTTCAAAAGGCTTGAATTTCAAATATGGAAACTCTGCATTTTCTTGAAAATCTGAATATTTAAACATTCCAAAATTAGTCATAAGTTGAAAACCAAGGCCTCTTTGTGGGAACAACAAAAAAATTTCAGTATCACTCTTGAAAGCCACTTAAGGCATCATTAGCTTCTCAAGCACCTTGAAAAGTTTTGTACTGCTTTAAAAGTATGCATAGAACCCAAACAGTGCAAATGTGCTCACGTGTCATTCTTACATGGACTTCAGTTTTACTTTGGTAAAATGTTAAGAACAAAATATCCTGAGCTAGATCAGGTATATGCCTGCTATGAATTGTACCTTTGCTACATAGATGGCATACTACTGCAGAAAATTTCTCCCGTTGCTCATGCACCTACTGCATAAGTGTTCTACACTACATACATACACTACAGATATGAAGTAATTGAGATCCAACATCTTTATATTCATAGGTTCTATATTAAAATGAATAGTTGCTACTTTCTTAAACAGCTCTTACTAGCTAATATAAAAACATAAAAACACATAAAGGCAAAATATATTCTTTGTTTTACATAGAAATATCACTGAGGCTGGAGAATGGAAGCAGTAGGTGTGAAGGCCGCTTTGAAATATATTATGAAGGGCAGTGGGGCACAGTCTGCGATGATTCCTGGGATATGAGTGAGGCTCAGGTTGTTTGCAGCCAACTTGGATGTGGCTAGGCCATTTCAGCACCAGGAAAGGCCCACTATGGCCAGGGCTCTGGAAATATTCTCCTGGATGATGTGCAGTGCAATGGGAATGAATCCTCTTTGGAGCAGTGCTCTCATAGAGGGTGGGGTACCCATAATTGTAATCACCAGGAAGATGCCAGTGTCATCTGCTCAGGTATTTTTGGCTCTATTTCCTTTATACAAATGCTTTGAAGGAATTACAGTATCAGTTACAGATGATAGATCATTAAGAAATTACCATATAGAGCAGATTTCCCTTTCTGAGCCATTTGGGTAGCATGTTAAAGCTGCTAGAGCCAATTAGTATGTGGGTCTCTTGCTTATCACACCAGGTGATGCACAGCCAGGTCTGGGGCCATGCAGGGGTTGAGATGCAGACTGGAGACAGAACTAATGAATGAGCAGCTTCCAGCAACAAGCTCATTCAGAAAGCCAGCGGTCAATCTGAGAACAGTGTCTAAGAACAGGCAGAGTCAGGAATCCAGGGGATCAGGCAGAGGGTAGTCAGAGCACAAGTTGTAGGAAACAGCAAGGCAGTGTGGGATCAAGTTGAGTCCTATTGCCCAGAGACTTGAGCCTAGAAAATCTTGGTGTCTGATATAACAGTGACAAAATATTAGCATTACTCAAATGCCACCTAAAGGAAACACTGGGTCCCCAAGTAATCTTGCTAAATTTTGTGTTACCATAAGTAATGGATAGAATCAAGACACTTAAAGTGTTTGCAAACCTTAATCTCACTTAAATTTCGATTTGATATCTCTTGGTTTATATCACTTGGCAGGTACAAAGTTCCTGAGTCAAATACGGGTTGTGGATTTGCTATACCAGGGCTATCCAACTGCTCAGTGGCTGGGGATCACATACTGTGCAGGCCACAATAGGACAAGGAAAGGCCTCACCCCTACACACCTCCCCCAATTGCATGGTACATGCTGGAGGCCTGCCACACTGCTCCACAGTGCCAGGGCAGCCACTCCACTGTGCACATTTACAGACAGCTCTCCTCAAACTCACCAGCCTTGGACTTCCCCCCTGCACCTGTGCACTGCAGTGATGGCTCCTGCATGCACATCACCCCCTGGGACAGATGCAGGAAATGGAAGTAGGAAGGCAACCCCAGAGCCCCTGGCTGCTGTTGCAGAGTTGTAGAGAGAGCAGCAAGGCCTGCGTTGGTGGATGGGAGCCCAGAAGATGCAAATTAACCCCTTGTTAATCTTCCTGCAGGCAGACTTCAGGGTGCCAGCTGGAAATCCTTGTCCTACACTGATGTAGTGTAGGACATCACTACATGTAGGACACTACACTGTCCTACATGTGTAGGACACTACACTATCAGTGTACTATCACTGATAGTGTAGTGTAGGGCACTATCACTACACTATCAGTGTAGTGTCCTACAGTGTATCACTAGCCAGTTTGCAATAATAAATAATTGTCTCTTGTCTTGCACAGAAATCTCACTGAGACTTGAGAACGGAAGCAATAGATGTGAAGGCCGTGTTGAAATTTATTACCAGGGACAGTGGGGAACAGTCTGTGATGACTCGTGGGATATGAACAATGCTCAGGTGGTGTGCAGGCAGCTTGGATGTGGCCCGGCCATTTCAGCCCCAGGAAGTGCCCACTATGGTCAAGGCTCAGGAAATATTCTTCTGGATTATGTACAGTGCAATGGGAATGAATCCTACCTGATGCAGTGCTTTCACCTGGGACGAGGCACCCATAACTGTTTCCACTGGGAAGATGCCAGCGTCATCTGTTCAGGTACTTTCTGCTTTATATTCCCAGGGTACAGCACCGGAATTGCAGTATCAGTTACAGCTGATGCATCATTATTTAAAAACTATGAGGACCAGATTGCTGTTCTGTATCAATATGATACCATGTTCTTGGCACACAGGAGAAGAGAGGCCCCACACTAACCCTGTCACTCACGCCTCTCATGTTCCTCCTCTCCTCTATTCCTGTTGCACTTCATCAAACACTGGACACTCCTCTCACCTGAAATCTTTTCCCTTACTACCACTTCCATCATCATTTCTCCAACTCCAGTGATCCTGTTCCCCCATTCTCCCATGCCTTAACCACCTTTTCCCTCACCATAGAGTATTTATCCATGATGGCATTTAAAGGAAAAATCTGAGGTTGCCTACAAATCTCCAGTGGCATCAGTGGTATAGGGTGACCGGGGCCTCCCCAGGTGCTGAGTTATGGGGTGGAGAAAAACAGCTGCCACTGCAGCCACACCATCACAACCAGAAGTCACTGCTGACTTTGTGTGGCAGACGCAGCAGGCATGATGCCATGGTGTTACACCTCTGCAAATCTTGCATCATTTTGTGATCCAATAAAGAATGTAGTATATCAAGATGATGCAGTTGTTCACACATATCATTCATATGTGAATTTAATTTCTCTTTTTCTTAGTTATGCTACACTGTTGGTACGTCTACACATGTGTTTTAATGCATGTTAGCTTATTTTAATGTGCATTAAAGCGTCACTAAAAACAGGCTATTTAGTTAATACGCATTAAAATCGGCTAATGCGCATTAAGTGTCACTTAAAAACAATGGGCGTTTCTACATGTGCTCTGAAAGTGGTGGTGTTTTTACATGTGCACCATTGAGTCTGTTGAAGGGTGGCAATTCCTGTGCTCTAGCAGCCTCCTGCATTTCGTGTAGCAGCATCCCCATGCTTAAAAATGGCGGTGGGGACGCTTGAACTAAAGCTCATTTTTAAGTGTGAGGACTTTAATATGGGAGGCAGAGTGAAACTTTAAGTAAAGTGGCTCTCGGAGCCACTCTAATTAAAGTGCTGCCCTCCCCACCCCCAGAGCACATGTAAAAGTGGCCAGAGGTACTAGATTTAATGCCCATTAACTAAAGCACTTTAATTTGTGTGTAGATGTGCCCTGTAAGTACAAAATATGCAATTCAGAAAGAGGGAGCCATACCACATAAAAGCACTAGTCTAGAAATGGAATTCACTTATTCACTCCTAGACAAAGAAAACTAGATTCAGTTAGAAAATAAGAAAGCATAAAAGAACAATGCAAAGTAAGCTTTTATTTTACCTCTCATAGAAATATTATTAAGGCTGAAGATATTGCATCATAGAGAAATAGGGCTGGAAGAGACCTCCAGAGGTCATCTAGTTCAACCTCCTGCCTGAGGCAGAAATTTTCCTGTCCAAACCATCCTATACAAATCCATTTTCTAACCTCATGGTAAAACTGTACAGTCAGCCATGATATGACACAAAACAAGGTTTAAATTCAAATTACAGTGGTTGGGTTTGAAGTGTTATTGAATGTTCCCCTGGAACTATCCTGTTCTTGTGAAATCTGGCCAACTAGAAATACTTTTGGGTGCATAACCATGCATATACCATATAATCAATTTTGGTGAAAATGTTAAGCTACTGCAGAGATTATCAAACAGAGTGCTGGATCCTCAAGGGAAATTTACACAACACATCCCAGAGACGAGCCTATGAGCTCCATTTCATCAACCTGCTGGATACTAGAGATCAGGGACTAAACATAGACATTGGATTTTTGATACATTACAATCTGCCTGGCAACTGACTCCCCCGCCCAGCCCAGCCCCTGGCTTCTTTACTGTTCATTCCATCCAGGAAGAGCACACACCGACTGCTGCAGCTTCCTGAGCCTGACGAAGGGTTTTTGAACCCGAAAGCTTGCTTAATAACTATTCTCCAACCATTTGGGTTGGTCTAATAAAAGATATCAAATTCACCCAAGGAACCTTGGCTGCCTATATCCTTAGACCAACATGGCTACAACCTAAACCCCTGGAACACCCTGTGTGAGGTTTGAGGTAAGAAGCAGATAAGGCCAAGCTCAGGATGTCTCTGCCTGCCCACTCTTCCAACCCCAGTGCCTGGCCCTTCTATAAGGAGGTAAGCACTGTAATAAAAAAAAACAAACAGTTTTTGAAACGGGGTACTAATCAAGTCACAGAAGTTATGGAGGGGAGCCTTGAGTCTACTAAGCGGGGGACTTGAATCTAAAAAGGTTGAAAACCTCTTACAGGTTTGGGTCCCGGGCAGCCACGATGCCCTCTGATGGCCACACAATTCCTGCCCCAGCTCTAATGTTAGGAGCCCTCACCTCTTTTACTTGCCTGCCATGCCTTTGATGTTATTATTTAGAAAGGAAGGAGGCTGCCTGCGTGTTGCAGAGCACTAAGGTGCCCTGCTCCTAAAGAGGGGAAACTGCTAGAGAAAAAGCCCTAGCAGTGAAAGCCCAGCTGCTGGTTACCAGGGCAACTAGAGCAGTTAGTGACCCACACCTGCCAGCGGTCAACTGACCGAAGGGGGGCTGGGCCTGGCACATATAAACCCCATGGCTGAAGCAAGGGGGGCATTTCCCTGCCAGCAACCAAGGGGGAAGGAGCTCTCCCAGAGAAGAGATGAGAGGCCTGACTGCAGGAGCAGCTTCTGACAGCGCTGAGGGACAAAGTATTCCCCAGTAGGCTTGAATGATGTTTTAGCTGGGCGGCTTGAATTTATGTTACAGCCCAGGGACTTGTGCTTTGTTGCTGTTTAAAGACCGGTGGTTTGGGGAAGGCTATTAGGGGAAGGAGGAGGCCTCATAGGGGACCCACAGCAGTGTGGGGAACCCAGCACCAGTGAGGGCGCAGCATTCGGGGTGCACCGACCCCAGCCCCAGAGTGGGGGGCAGCCTTTGAGAAGCCCCGGGGCGGGGGGAAGTTTTTCAGAAGCCCCGGGGGGGGAAGCCTTTCAGAAGCCCCAGAGAGGAGGCAGCATTGACAAACGCCAGAGAGGGCGCAGAGTGAGACAGGGCCACAGAGGGCCCAGGGAGGACAAGGGGGCCAAATTATAACAAGGCCCAGACTGAACAACATCAGTTCCATCTGTGAGGCTTGGGGTGTGGTAAAGGGGTGGTTGGAGCCACGCATAGCCCATAAGGCTAGGGTGCCCCGAAACACCCGTTATACCATCTGTCTTGGAGTGGGACCTACCAGGGTTCTGGGAATCCACGGGGTCTGAGTGTACAGCAAAACATGACCAAGAGGGCATAAAAGGCAGCCTTCCAAATATGTATTTTATCAGCAAAGACGTGGCGGGCGAGAGTCGAGGGTGCCCATTGGGTCAACTTGGCACGGTAAAGGGGGTCTTAGGAAGATCACGGCCATCCTACTGGACCCCGCGCCATGACACTGAGGAACCTAGAGCAAGCTTGCCATTGTTCCTGTGTTGGGTTTTGACCTTCTCGGCCTCTGGCCTTTTTTCTATTGCTGAGCCCTCTAGCTCTAGCCCACTCACTAAACTGAGCTTCAGGGTTCCCAGCTTTTTGTCTGTCCTTCCCGTGCCTTTGTCTCTGCACTCTCTTAGGCTGCTGAAACTCCCTGGGTGCTTTCTCTCTCTCCATTATCTCTATCCAACATTCACATAAGGCACACCTAATTTTGGGATAATTCAAGAACACATGTGAATTAGAGGACATTTAGAAGAGTTAATCTTTAAATAGACAAGGACATCCAGCTTAACTATGGGTGAGGGGTGCTCCTCTATTAAAACCTGGTTTTCTTAAGAAATGAGTCCTTTCACCTTTTTTCAGTGCCAGTTAAAATTATATCTTTCATTTAATATACCTAGAGATGCATTCAGCCATGAATTGTGTCATTAGTCACACTTAAAGTTGGGGAATATTAACTGACAGAGTTTGAGCTCTATATAGAAAGACACATCAACATCCACTGTTTCCATAATACTTTCATAATATTTCCTTAATACTTAAATGTCCATAAAATATGGGAGTATTTAGTAACAGCTCTGTCTCTAAAAAGAGATATTTTCCTTTATTTTTTTTTTTTGTAAATATCCTTAAATGGATTAGTATGAGAACTTTTCATGTTCTTTTTTTATTCACAATTCATGAAGGAACTGAAACACCTGGTAAGTTTCTTCTCTTTGTGGCATAATATGGTTTTCTGGTATGTTCAGATGTTCACTAATAGAAACACACAAGAAAATTTAAAGCACTATTTGAATGGGATGGACAATTATAAACCTCTGGCCAAAATTTCCACAGAGGAAGCTTATTTTGTTATGTCATATGTGGATCTCATTCCCACTCTCCAGCTGTTGGCCTAGTTCATCATCACTTCTCTGAATTACTCTATGCACAGGGCCTTTGGCAAGGGCAGGCAATTATTTCAGGCAAAGGGCCACTTACTGAGTTTTGGCAAGCCATCAAGGGCCACATGACAGGCTGCCAGGGGCAGATAAATATTAATTTTCCAATTTTTTTAGGGGCCCCACGGGCCAGATAGAATGGCCTAGCAGGCTGCATCTGGCCCCCGGGCCGCATTTTGCCCACTATTGTCTTATGGGAAGGGAACATTTTCCACAGTCCACAAGAGTGGAGGCATCATGCCTGACTCTTCTGCATTCATCTTCCCCCTCTACACACAAAGCCCAAGTGAAAAATTGAGTGTTGAAGATTAGTTAAGTGTATGCTGCTGATGAAAGAACTTTAGTAATGGTCATTGTATCTGTTAATTGTCTGTACAATACTGTCAAAAATCTAAGGAGGATTTGCCTGACTATGATTTCTAAATCCAACTGAGTTGCAAAATATTAAAATTTTACTCTTCTTTTCTCTTCACAGAATCTACTGGAACTGGTCATTATAATCCAGAGTAACATCATTAACTTGATTGATAACATGAATTTTGCTGAAGGTAAGAGAGTGAGAATACAAATTGGGTCTCATTCTAGTA